GTCTCTGCCCTCTTCATGATTTTCCGATCTTTTTCTTTCAACGCGTGAGACAGGAAGTTCCACGCGTGGAATGCGAGCTCTACTTGTTCGCTCCGGTACTGCTGTGACAGCGAAAACTTCCTCTTTCCGCTGTTGACGGGGATCTCCAAGCTCCCGCTCTCTTCAAATTGTTCCAACAGGTTTGCGCCATTAGCTGCCATGCGGAAATCATTTAGCCATTCGCTGAAACATTTCCATTTCCCGCTGAACGGAGGAGAAGTGTACCGCACACTTTGGCATCCCATCGCTGGGGTTGTGGCTCCGTATCCAAAGCCAACAGCAGCACCACCAACTCCCATGGCACTACTAGATCGGGATGTGGAATAGATTTTTGTGGTGGTTGCACAAAAGTACCTGCAGTAGGCTCGTGCGTCTGTTAGTTCGCGCAGGTACCTCCCGTCCTGCGCACTCCCGGTCCACGGTGCCCCCCCTTCGGCGTTCGTGGACTCCCGGCGGCGCTCTCCCTAGCATCGCCGCGATCAGCGGCACCCTCCATGGTGCCAGTTGGCTCCTCCTGCTTGCTTGCCTTCATGGTATCTTCCACTAGCGACATTAGCTGGCTCATCTGATCCGTCAGGGAGCTAACTTGCGTCCTCAGGGCCACGAGCTCTTTTCTTGACCTCTCTCTGTCTTCCGCCGCAGAGTCGCTGGAGGAGTCACCCCTGTCTTTGCGACCTGACATCCCTTATGGACTCTCCCTCGAGGGACTGACACTAGTAGTGTGTTCGTATATTATGTCCTTTACTTGGAAGGGGAAGACGTTCTATCTCTTGTATTAGACACGCAAGGGGAGTAGGGAGACGTGAAGCCCTGGTTGGAGTTCGAGGGTTCCCCGCACATGCAACCATTTCAAGGTGTACATATGCCCCATCTGCGTGCCCTCTGTTGTTGCCGGTAGATCTAACCAGTCCGTATCCAAACACACGAACATTTCTTGGCTTCGGCTGGGCTTGAATTACCCTTTTGCTATCCTCCGCTCTTTTCATCAGTGGCTTCCTAGGTTCGGGCGAGGGCATGTATGGAGCTATGGCAGTGTATGTGTTGCTATTTTGTTTTAGTCATCGAGCTGCTGACACGATGACTGTTGGATCTTGGTAGTGAACGACAATCAAATTGGGAGTTGCAACATACCACGATATCCTGTCTTCGGCTGGGCTTGAATTAACCCTTTTGCTGTCCTCCGCTCTTTGCATCAGTGGCTTCGTAGGTTCGGACGCGGGCAAAGGTGGAGCCATGGCAATGTATGTGTTGCTATTTTTTAGAAAGTAAACATAACCTCACGGAAAGACTAGTCTACCCGTTCGAGATATCTAACCTCAGTCGGAAGGGATTTTGCTGTTTTGTTTGAGTCATCGAGCTGCTGACACGATGACTGTTGGATTTTGGGAGTGTACGGTTATTAAATTGGGAGATGCAGCATACCACGATATTCTGGCTTCG